CGTTGCGCATTCATGTACAATCCATTTTAAAATGTCTCGTATGCAAAATATAATAAACAATCTTTAACAAAAATAAACAACATAGAAGATGTTGTCCAGAACGCTATTTGTTTAAACTTATGTAATTGAACACAGTGTGCATTCTCCTAATATCTTCTAATATCTTCAATTTTTGAAAAAGAATTATTGCAAAAAATTATTTTTGTCAATCAAAACACAAAATCGTGAAACTGTATTATGATATGATTGAGATTGCATTTTTTTAACTTCCCGTAGGGCAAGTTATAGTAATCGCAAAAAAATAGAAAATGAAAATTTTTGCATTTCTCGACGTTTCAAAGGTTTCTGAATATTTTGGCATACCTTAGAAAAAATGGATGTATGTGTGTGTGTGTGTGTGTGGGCGTGTGTGTATGTATGTGCGGATACAAATTTTCGTCGACGATTTCGGGAACACCGATCAACCGATTTGAATAATTCAAAAAACATTCCATTCGTGTTGATAAGGAGACGTGCTGATTAGTTTTTGGCGAAGTCAGGTCTAGCCGCTCCGAAGATACGGGGCAAAAAGTGCCGAAAACGGTAACTCAGTTTTTAAGAGAACGGAGCGTCCGATTTTAATAATTCAAAAAACATTTTACTTGTATTGACAAGGTGAAGAACCGATCAAATTTTCATAAAGGCAGGTCTAGCGGTTTCGGAGATCTAATGAAAAAAGTAAAAAAAAATGCCATTTGGCGGTCAAAAATGATCATTAGACATATGCACATCAAATTATCAGATATTTTATAGAGATTTTAACAATAAGTATAATTTTGGTTTACATTCCTATGGGTTCCGTACCAATGTTTACGCATTAGACGTCGACGCGGCGCTTACGCGGTTTGATATTTCGTCTTTATGCAGTTAAAGCAGTACGATTGCTTTGAAACAAAGTTTAAATCTTTCAAAATATTTCAAAATAAAGAAAACTTTTTTTTTTCAAAAAAAAAAATTAAAAAAAAAATTAAAATTTTTTTTTTCAAAAAAAAGTAATTTTTTGTATAATTGTTTGTCAAAAATCTTATTTTGTCGAAGTAAATTTTTTTCAAAAATGTTAATCGTTTTTAAAAAAATAATAATTTTTGGTATGGGAAGTTCCAGCAATTTGCCTTAAGGCACGATGCCTTAATTGCATTAAGAATTCCACTTACAGCTAGTTTAATTCAAATCCGCGACGGTAACTTGAAGTTTTGCTAATCCAGGACAGGGAGGTGGGTGATAAAGGAGACTGAGTACTGTTGTGGCACTTTTTTATCAGTAATAATTTAATCAATTTTTCAGTCAGCTGGGAGAAAAGTAAATTGAATGGCAATTTAAACATTTATCTACGTGAAAATACTGTTGTCATAAAATCAAATCACACAAGAAAAGAGCGAGTGTCACAACCATTCATACCCGGGGGAATATGTAATTCTTTGCAAAAACTTTTTTTCTTGAATTGAATTTTCCTTTCTCTTTCGTACTTTGTCTTAGTTAAGTTATTTTTGTTATCCGTCTTCGCCGGAAAAGGACAAAAAAGGCCTGTCACAACCGTACCAACAAAATTTGTCATAACGCACACGTTTAAAAGTAAATCATCATTATTATCTCAGCTAAATTATCTAACTAAGCAAAAACTCGTTAAGTTATTACTAGTTTAGTTAAGTTATTTTTGTTATCCGTCTTCACCGGAAAAGGACAAAAAAGACATGTCACAACCGTACCAACAAAATTTGTTCCAACGAACAGTTTTAAAAAAAATCATCATTATTATCACAGCTAAATTATCTAACTAAGCAAAAACTAATTGATGGTAAATAAAGACTAATTATCAACTTACAGCAAAATAACAAACAAATAAGTGATCTATCTGAATGCAAGTAAGTAACAGTTATTTGAAGGAATTCGAAGATGAAAACTTGCTTTTGATTTTTTAGAAGCAATGCGGTCTACAGATCATGTGAATATAAGGCACTGACTAAAAACAATATTAGAAACTTGTTCGAACAATCGAACTTCATCTTTCTCCTTTTGGACCCTATCTCAATGTCAATATAGATCAGCAGTAGTACCCCTACTTACAAAACAAACTTAAATATTAGACTATATTTCAATATGATGAATTTTATTAATTGTATTTTTAACAAAAATTATACATTACGTATTTGATATAATAAAAACTAGTTTTAATAAATGATTTAATAAAAAAATAATTTGGCAATGAATACAAAACTTTTTATATTTTTCTGATTTGTGGACAGATTTTGAAGTCTATAAAATTTTGTGCAATTTACTTCATCATTAACTCTAGTTAAAATATCGCTTATAGTATGTCTATTTCAAGTCGAAACTTTTCATTTGTCTAAAGCACTTGTGTCAGACAGAAGAAATTTTACTTTCATAATTTATTCCTGATTTTAAGATGAAAGTTTGATATTATAGAAGTTTATTTCAATTTGAATTTTTGTTACAACTGTAATCTAGTCACATTAAAGAATTTTGATTAAAATATTACAGAAAATACGGAAAGTGTTTCCAAAGAATGAAAAAATACAAATTAAAGTTATGAAAACTTTTGCAGGTCCATATTATTTTAAAATATTCGCTTAGACAGTGAACTCTATCATAAATTAAAAAAATGAAAAGACCCGGTCTTTCCAAAAACAGACGGTCCCAGCAACGTCTTTCCAACGGTTTGTGAGTTTTCAAAATCAATTCAGAATTTTTTGCTAAAATTTCGATATAAAATTGCAGTCTTCTGCAAAATGCACAAATCAGTCAAATAAGTAAATTAGATTCGTATACTATGCTATTTCAACTAAACTTTATCATTCTAGCTTGAGATCAACTCATCTTTTTTTATTTTGTATATGAGTTTTAGAACTTTAGTTAGAATTAAAAGTAAAATCTAACTTATTTTCGATATACAAAAAGTTTGAAACAACAAAAATTCAATCTCAAAAACTCGGTTTCTATTTTCTGCACTCTTTGCTCCGTATCTCCGTAACGGCTGAACCTGCCTTTCTCATCTCTTATAACCAACCTTTGTTGGTCGAAAGCTATGTTTTGACGAGTATACTGATTGGACATCCATGGAACGGGCAATAATTTATTTTTTAGCTATGAATTGGTTTAATTAAATTTTAAATATTTTATATTGAAATATTGATTTCATAACAAAACATATCAAATTAAAATATCAATTCAAAATATTTAATAATCAATTTAAAATATTTTAAAGGTATCCCTGAAAACACCTCAAGCTTAGGCATAATAAAATATTTATCTACACATAAATTGTAAGCATTATATTTCTCTTCTTTAAATAATTAAACATTCAATATAGATTTCTTTTAGATATTTTAATTCTGAACACTATTTTATTATTATTCATAATTGCAATATAATGCATAAGTACGTGCTTAAGTTTAATAAATGTGATTCAATTTATATTTATATGGTATTATCTATTCATTTCAGTTTTAAAATACATTTGGAAGCACTATCTATGTGTTTTAAAGAACTTATAATGTTACTAATAATTTCCCAAATTGATCATAAACTAGATCAAAAATAATTAAACAATTTTAAAGTCATTTATTAAATATTTATGATTATTCTTGTTTTGCTAATTCCTACAATAGCACAATATAATCACAATATATAAAATAATCAAGTATGAATGACTAAGTAAATATCTATGAAAAAAATTATTTTATAATGAAAAAAATAAAATATGACTATCCAATTGGCAAAATTTAGCCCATTTTAGTAGACACTAGCGTAGTATATAATTTGTACTGAGCTCTAAAAGCCTAGCTAATCAATTCAACAATAAGTCTATAAAATATATAAGTGCTTCTTTCTTTAAGAGCTTATAATTTCAAGAAGGCGCAAACTATGTCTTATTTTTAACATGGCTGCATTTATTTAAATGCATTTTATAACAACATTTTCATGATTGAGACAATTTTATCCTACATTGCAAAATATACAAGTATACTTTAACTAGATAACTTTTTTGCAATTACCTTAAATATAAGACTATAACTGACTAAGATTTCTATATTAATATTTTTCATTCGCTACAATCAATTTAAGCATTTTTGATTCACATTTCAAAATCGGCCTAAGTGTAAAATGTTGCTGAATTCTTTTTTGACCAAAATATTAAAACTATTGTGTTATGACAAATGTCTCAAGTATCTCATGATAATGATGTATTATAATAACATAAAACTAATTTTATGCTTATGATATGTGAAAATAACAATGTTTTGTTGAAATGCTTTTTTGGAATTACTGGTTCAGTCATTTTTATTGAACACACTTTCGGTCTATTACTTATGAGAATAACTACAATAATTAAATTACAACTTGTTTCCCTTATTGACATGATATATAAAAGAAACAAATTGTAGTAAACAGATCATTTTGATAAAAATAATGAAAATAAACTTATTTTAATTAGTATGTAGTATTTATCACAATGCATAAATGATATGCATACAATTTCAATAATAATACCTTCAAATTATTTACTTTAGTTTGTTCAGTTACAAGTTCATTGTGGCACTTTTTTAAATAAATATATGCCTATCAGATAAAATATTTATTGAAGTAACTACTCGCTAAAAATTATTCATATAAAACATATAAGGCATACTGACATTTTTATATCACCCTTCTAGTATAGTACAAAATAACAAAAATTGGTATTATTTCGTTTCTTGAATTACACAAACACTATTCGCACATGCAATTTTTTATATTAATTGGAACTGTTTATTAACATATTTGGATAGCTATGATATCTATGATTTGAAAACTTATAAAAAAATGACTAACATCTTAAATTTAAATAAATAAAATAAAATAATTAGGTATAAATGATTTGTTCAATGATCTTCAATCAAAAAATGTGAAATACAATAGAAAGTAACAAGATCACATGTTTAATTCAATATAATTGTGTTTAAAATTATCATTAATTGGCTTTCATCTTGTGCCCATATTAATATTTTATGGTAATTGTATAATTGTTTAATACTCAATTGGATTAGGGTCTCGTGGTTTTCTTGAATACTTGAGACCAAGTTCATCAGCTATCTCATCAATTACTTGTAGTGCATAGTCTAGTTGCTCTTTGGTATGAGCAGCAGAAAGACATATTCGTATTCGACCTTCCATCAATGGCGTAGCTGGAAAACCAACACCCACTACAGCTATGTTTCGTTCTTTAAGCGTCCTCACCACCGCTCTGAATAAAAATATGCATGTAAATTATTAATACTAGTTACAATATACTCATCAACTAATATTGAGACAAATAAAGTGGTGTTTTTCAAATTAATGTTCATCAATATGCGGTCCAGTATTTAAACCTTTCCATTTTTAAGTAAAGCATATATTTCATTTAGAATTGTTCAGTATGATAAATATCAATATTATCAATTCTCCTCTTCTATAATATTATTATTATAAAAGTAGATTGTTAGATATTTTTCTTGTGCAGTTATGCACAGTAATTTACTAATCATTTCTATTATTATTAAATTGCATTTTCACTATTATTATAGTATGCATATATAGGAATGGTATATTTAAATTACAGATAAGAGGAATTTCCAGAAAACATTTTGGCCTCCTAATTTTCATTAATCAGTTTCATTAATTTATTATTTTCATGATCTTTCTGAACATTTCATCTTATACCAAATTAAAAGAAATGATTCAATACAAATTGGAATCAATACTATTAGTTGCTCTCTTAAAAAAAAAACCTGCACCAGAATGTCAGGAATGCTACTCAAATAATATATTTTTGATTGATACGATACGGCTTGTTCTTATTACAAGTAAATATAGAAACTGGTTTGAAATTGAATTTGGAATTTCTAATTTAAATCATTATTATACTAATATAGACATTGCAGGCGCCATTCTAATAACTACATAAATATGAAACAGACAGTTGCACTAAAAATAATAAAGAAATTTCATTAAAACAAATTAGAAATCTCATTACACATTGCCTATTTATATGCCGATCAATTTATATTTAAATAGTTTTGCACACAACTTACCCAATTTTAGAGAATAAGTAAACCAAAATTGGTATGACTGGTGAGTCTTCATGTCCGTAAGTAATAACACCAATTTGAGCTAATCTCCTTCGAAAGTACCTTTAATAAAGAAGAAAATAAACAGGAAATTCGAATTATTTATCTAATATATATATTTTATAATAGTATACCTAGTATTTCTTGCTAACCGGTTGATTCGTCTTTGACCTTCGTCGGTTCCATCTAAACCCATTATTATTTCCATTACACTTATTATTTGTTGTGCAACAGGAGGTGACATTGTAGCAGCATAGCACTGTGCATGACTATGAACTCTCAGATAATTTATTAGCTTCTAAAAATGATTGAATATTTAATAGATTTAGAAAGAATGTATTTAAATTATTATTATTGCAGTAAATCCTACTTTAGAGCCTGCTATGTATCCACCAGCACTTCCAAAACTTTTGGTAAATGTACCCATCAGTATATCAACATCATTTGGATCAACCCCATAATAATCAACAACACCACGACCATGAGATCCCATTGCGCCTAAATTGTATAAAAAATATAATATTTTAGCTGCTTACATCTGAATAAACTTTGAAGTAGCAATATTTATACAAATTTCACAATATTCTGATCCATAAATCAACATTTCATATCTACAGCATGTGTGATATGTTACAACACTTTTCAATAAAAGTGTCAAATATGTTGTGACCGATAAAGTATTTGGTAAAAATAAGACTATTCTATTTTTAACTTTCAACTTTTACTGATTATTGTATGTCTTCATTAATTAAGATTCTTTTCTATTTGTATGTACATTTCAACTGTTGACACATATTTAGTGTAAAATATATATATATATATATATATATATATATATATGATTTAGATGTTTTTGTTCAACGTTGATACATATTCTTGAAATGTTAATTTGCAGCAAATCATCAAAGTAAATGTACAATAAATAATGTTACTTTATTTTTATCTTATCCATTTATTCATAAATTTACTTTATCTTTATGCATTTTGTATGTTTCGACACAGTATGTATGTTATCATTGAACAAAATTTTTTTCATTAATACACAATATCAAACCAGGAGAAACGCTCATGAAAAATTAAACTAACATTAATTTCAAAATACAAAACATAACATGAATAAAGTAAAAAAAATTATAAAATTAAACAGAGAATTATGTAGTCTCCCTACATGATAACTTATATATGTATATACGTATATAACGCTACATGATAACAACATATATAAGTTGCTATCATGCAGTGAGACTACATAACCTTCTGTTTTAACTTTTGAGAATAACATTTTAAGAATACGTTTTAATATTGAATAAAAAATCTAAAGATAATGTATATTTTGATAAATTATCACCTATGCTATGTGCTTCATCCAAATATAAATATGCTTTAAAACGCTTCTTTAATGCAATTAGCTCTGGCAATTTAACTATTGAGCCTTCCATACTAAATATTCCTTCAACCACAATCATAATTTTCTTCCATGGCTTTCCAGTCTTTGGCTGTCCTTTTACAATGGCAGTTTCTAGTACTTTTTCCAAATGTTTCATATCTGAATAACAATAATCAAATTTAAAAATTGAAATGGAAACTCAAAAACTTAAAAAAATTCAATAATATACTAACTATTATGCCGAAAAACTTTTGTAGTGGCACCTGACAATCTTAAACCTAATATAATACTGGCATGATTCTTTTCATCACTAATAACCAGGCACCCGGGACTTAAAAGAGACGGTAAATTTAGAGAATTTGTTGCAAAACCCATTCCAAAAACAATAGCATCTTCAACACCCAGAAACTCTGCAGTTAACTTTTCTAAACGAATGTGAAGTGGATTTGTTCCTAAAAATATAATTAAGGTTTTCTATGATGTTAAACATTAAAAACACAATCATTTCAAATTCTTTCAAAATGCAAATTACCAAGTTCATGTCGCGTACTGCATAATGAAAGCCCATAATCACGGATGGATTTTTCAACTGCATCAGCACATTTGCCTTTATTTTCTGCAAAGCCTAAGTAATTATATGAACCCAAATTTAGGCATTTAGTTTCCGTGCCTGTAAATCTGAATAATTAAAAAATATTAAGTAATTGTAAACTTTATTAAATATATTATGATATTAATAAAATATTGTTTTTTGAATATAAAAAATAATAATTGAATTATTGAAGGATTAATAAAAACTTATTTATAATGAAAATGCTACATATTTATAATAAATATAATCATGCTAAGTTTTAATTTCATGAAAAGGTAATAACTGTATATTTAAAAATGTGGTGAAATGATGGTTTTGAAGTATTTCAGAATCTTATTTTAAATTTAAAATTTTCCCTTACTCAAAGCTCCAACCATAATCCTTAGTTATTCTATCTTTAAGAGTTACTTCTGCTCCAGGGACACTGCATATAGGTCGATTCCAACAATCTCGAATTCTACGATATACATATCTCAAATAAAATTTGTCAAAACTGTCATATAAAGGTGCATAGCCCTGAAATTAAGTAAATTGTAATTAAAGTAATATACAAAATGAATATATTTTTTATTTAGATATATATAAAAAAACAGCAACATTAAGATGATAATTTAGCTTTTTCTTTATATTATTTATATTTTATTAAAATAATATAATTAAACTTAAATTTGTAGTATTCGATTTAAAAATAATAAACATAACAAACATATTATAGCATAAAGATATTATTTGCTCGTATAAAATATTTTAAGATTTTGACAGTTAAGTTTAATTAAGTATAGAATAAATAATTAAAAAAATATTACTTATACTTATTATTTCTAAATTAACATATTGACTACTGTGTAGTCGTGGTTACCTTTCGATTTTTTTCAGTGGCTACTTTGGGAGTAAAAAATAATTGATTTAAAAATCCTAATATCATCAATAAATAGAATCCTAGATAAGTGAGACATGCTGTATGCAAGGGGACGTGTTCAAATGATTCTTTAAGTCGATGAGGATCATTGTAATCAAATTTTTTATGCTGTGCTGTATGCTAAAGAGAAAAATTGTTACAATTACAATAATTATAATGAATTAAAATATATCTGAAATAAAATAGTATTACCTTAATATGGCCATTGGATATGCGTTTAACATCCTCATTTGAAAATCCATTTGCTCGGTGGCTCTTAAAACTGGTTTTACTAATAAAACTTTTTATATCATTTATTGCATGGCTTTTTATATTTATTCCACCATTTAGACGCTCACGATCTGCCATCTTCACAATTCTTTAAAAAATCTTGCCAGTTTTGAGTTCAAATTATAATTTTAAATCAGTAGGTGATTTTGCAAGGATTTTCTGGAATCTTGACTTTTATCGGTAATCTATAAATTCCACCATAGTAGTTAAAACACAAAAAGAATCATTTTTCACATATATGTTGAATTAATATTATTCATTGCACACATTATATTAGAAAATTTTGGAATAGTTACAAAACGTCAGTAGCTTTGAGGTTAATCGCTTTCTCAAGGAGTAGCCGCATTACAGTATTGAATTCAAGGTTATGAAATCTGTTAACGCAGGCTTATTTTTGGCAATACTATCAGGCACTCGCATTCCTACATGCTACCGAAATAAAGTTATTGCTTTGTTTTCTGCATTTCTATATCGTTTGAAGTTTTATTTAAAATGTAAAGAGATATACATAAAATGAATTTATATTCGCTATTTAAAACATTCAATTCAAATTGAAATCAAATATTATGCAAAGTACAGATATAATGAAGTGTGATACAATATTTAATATTGTTATAAAAGTAAGAGTTTGTGTATGAAATTATGATTATTCCTCTTATCCCTCTTACTCATCTCTTTCTGCGATCGCAGACGAAGAGAACAGGAGGTGAGTCATGGTTTGCGCATACAAATTGACTATATAAATATTGTGGATATTATTCATTCGCGAAATGGAATCAGCAATTTATAAATACTAAAAAAGTT